GAGAGAGAGAGAGAGAGAGAGAGAGAGAGAGAGAGAGAGAGAGAGAGAGAGAGAGTTTCATCGATAGGATGAGCAACGCACCGACCAACAAGAGAGTCTCCAACCCCGCGCCGTTCTTGATTGCAACCAGTATGATTGGTTGAGCCTTGTTGCGCAAAAGAGAGTGGAAGGTGAATGAAACGCACAAAGTCAGCACTCATGAGCTAGGTTGGGGCGGTTGGTGGTTTTGGGATCCCGTAGAAAATGCATCTTTGATGCCTTGGGCATTAGCTACAGCTTCTATTCATTCAGTCATTTCATTTCGGTTGAATTCTTGGACCTTCTTTCTAAACATTGTTACTTTTTTATTCAGTCTCTTAGGAGCTCTGTAGAAACTGAGGAGGAGTTATGGGGGCAGGGAATTGAAAGGTAACCATTGCTTTTCTTTTATAAACCCAGTTATAACCCATATGTGTACTTCTTGCTATGTTTGACTGAGTATACTGCGTGCACCCTTACTTTGACTTTGAGTTTGACTTTCATGACTTAAATCAGACTTAAATAAAGGAAGGCATGCGCAATGTCAGTTTCAGTTTTATTGTCTGACTGAAAGCAGATTGTGGGTTTGCATCTGGGGGAAACGTGGGAGAAAGGCTGAATTGCTTGAGTCTGACTGGGTCAATTAAAGGCTGGGCAAGTCTCCATAAGTTTGGGGAGGCCCAGTGCTATGTTTAGTTTTGATTGCATGAAAAAACAGACATGTTCCATAAGTTTGGGTGGTCTGGTTGTAAGTCCGAAGTGTCGTTTCAACCACTGCCCAAGCCTGAGCACTGTCGTCGGACGGAAGTGTCGTTTCAACCACTGCCCAAGCCTGCGCACTTTCGTCAGCCCCTGCTCCCGACCCCGCGCGCCCTTTCCATATGCCCCTGCTTTGCCACCGTTTCGATTTCGACCAAAACCTGTTCCGACCAAAACCCAAAGCGTGGTCACACCGGCAGCTACCGGTCCCTCATTTTTCAAACAAACTGGCACCCCCTCCCAAAGTGCCATACATGCACCTTCCTGCATTTTTCGAGCCTTCCAATGACCAAACGACCCGTAATGAACGACCGGTATAACGAAGGACGACGAAAAAATGTCTCCATGACTCAAAGGGGGCACGGGTGCGCAGCCCGTAGTTCGTTTGTTTATGCGGTTCGGGAAGGGTAAGGTAGTGATTATGCTGTATGTATGTTTTGTCATGTTTGCTATACACAACTCGAAGAGTGTGTGTGTGTGGGGTGCCCGCTGGTGCTTTATTCACGATGTTCATGGGACGCTAGACCCAGTTTCCAGCAGGTGGCGCTCCCCATCAATAGACAGGAGAATGTATGTGTGTGTGTGTGTGTGTGTGTGTGTGTGTGTGTGTGTGTGTGT